ATCCAAGCAGTGTGCTGTTGCTAGTGGTAAGGGCAAATAGGACTTTAGGTTGTATCTATAGAAATATTGAATACAAGTCTAAATAAATTATTATTTCATTGTACAGGTCACTTTTTAGGCCACATTTGGAATATTGTGTTCAGTCTTGGGCTCCTTACCTTAGGAAGAACATTGAATTGTTGGAAAGGGATCAGAGAAGGGTTACTAGAATGGTGCCTGGGATGGAGGGGTTGTCATATGATGAGAGGCTGAAAACTCTCAAATTGTTTTCTCTTGAAAAAAGAAGAGTTAGGGAGGTGTTTAAGATTGTAAAGAGAATTGATAGTGTTGATGCATCATTTTTTTTTTTCATATTTAACAGTGAGAATAGTAGGACTAGGGAACACAAATATAAATTTTGGGAAGGTAGGAGTCATCTTCAGCTGAGAGTTTTATTTTTTCTAACCAGGTGGTTAGCCTTTGGATGTTGTAGAGTCAGTAAATTTAAGTGAGTTTAAGAAAAAGCTTGATAAGTATATGAATGATAAGGTCTGGATTTAAGATCTTTGTTTTAATTATTTTAATTTAGTTTAGAGGATGGAACAGCTGAGATGAACCAATAGGTCCCATGTTGTCTCAAAACATCATGTTATGTTAAATTGAACCTGCTAAATGCAGTCACTTTATTTGTTGTGTCTGCAAGTATTAAAATGATCACAAAAAATATTGCAGAAGTTAATAAATTATAACAATTTCATCTATTAAGTAATGCATTGAAATTCACTAAAGTTATACATTTTCTTAAACAATCGTTTGATTATATTTAAAGTCATACATTGTAACTCTGTATGTTAATCTTTTGCATTGCACTGAAGTTAATATTACCGCTTGATAAGTTGTGAAATTACCAATGGTTTTGTAGTATTGTCCCAACTGAGTCTTCTGTAGCATTAACAATTTGTCACAAAATTAGCATATTATATTTGAAGTAATTGTTATTACTATTTGTTATACAATTTCAATAATAATTTTCAAAAAATTAGTAAGTCAATAAAGAAACTCATAAAATGAATTAGTATTTCATTTCTGTATTATTTGAAAGTATCATTATGTACACAGTTATAATGAATGCAACTGTGTGACCTTTCTAGGAGAACTTAATGAATCTGTGAAACAGATGTTGGAAATGATACATCTAGAAGACAAAAACAAAACTTGTATTGGAATAAACATTCCTCAAAATACAGTTGAGAGACAGCAGTTGGGTAAGTTTTTAGTTTAAATAAAATGGTATACGAGGCCCATTCCTATGTATATTTGGATAATTCCTTTGATTTCTTACACCAATCGTATCTAATATTCACAAAAGATAAATACTGAAACAATTAAATATGCTTAAATTTTTATTTAGGTATAACAGACTTTTTATTTCAAAAGCTTTCTAATCATATGTACCACTTATGTCTCCTGTCTTCCAACAAGTTTCTTATCAACAATATGCATATGAAGTATTGGCACAAGAAATGCTATTGTGGAGTTTTATTGCATTTTGGTGTTTTGGCCATTGTTACTACTTATTCAATTGTTTCGTAAAAATAAAAATTTAAGATTTCATGAAAATTGTTTTATTTAGATCAAGCTCTTAATATATTGTTAGTTTGTTTCATTTTGAACCTTGTGTCACAGTTATTGGCTTATTATCAAACATGACAGCAAGTTGAAACAGCAAATTTTCTATACGTGTAGTTATTATGCTAATCACAGACGTATTTAAAGTTACCTTGGCTTCATGTAACCCCTACGTCACAGGCAGGTCAAAGTGCACATGTCGGGACTTTTTAGAGATTTACATTCAAAATTTTATAAAACTACTTTATTATCATGGTATATGAATAAACTTGGCATCAAAATGTAATTAATAATCAAATTTTGATATTATAAGTTTTAAGTTCTTAATTTTATAAGAAAATATTTGAAAAATTCTCAATCTCCTCTAGTATGAGAATTGTGATATTTGCTCTTTAGGTCTTCCCTCTTCTCTAATTTATTTACTGCCTCTCTGAAAAGTACTGAATTTAATGTAAGTTACTCATTATAATATAGTTATTACTCAGGCAGGGCATAATTTTTATAGTCTTCAATCTTATTTGTTTATGGAGCCATAAAACTATAAAGTCAGACCCACTTGTTGTCATGCCATCTTGTCACATCCTCTATTTCACAAATTGCCAATAGCTCTCTCTGATGTTTAGTACGATATTATTTATAACCAATAGAAAGTCAAAGTTTTAATCTATCAATTGACATATTGTATTACATTGTTTTCTGTAAAGAGAATTGTCTTTTTTGCTTCCAGTTCAAACTTTATTCTCACGGAAAGCACATCAATGAGCTTAAATGAATTTTTAACAGCTCTTATTTCATAATTAGAAAGCTAGAAAAATTATGATAGTTATAGGACATTGTCTGCTTTTACTTGTTATTATTCTGTGTTCTTAGAAGCATTATTTAATTAAATAAAAAGTTATTTATCCTAGTAATACCATTTGTATAAAAAACAAAACAAAAACCCAGATAACTATTATATTTCTTGTTTTTCATGTATATTCTTTATTTATTCTTATATAAAAGTAACTAAAATGTAAAAATTAGAAACTAATTAGATTTGATTATGTAAGATATATATAAAAAAATATTCACGAGGTATGCTCAAGAGTAGCTTGTACATTATGTAATTAGATAGTGTAATGTGAGCTACATGTTTGCTAAGTGATTTACAACTTGTGTGGCAGAATTATTAGTTAGACATGGTTCAAAGGACAATAAAATATAGGTAGAAACAGATGTATACTGTTATGAGTTTAAAGCTATTTAGGATAAACAAATATATTTCCTGTTACAATTTGAAGTCATTCTACAAATTAAAAAAAGAAAGTTTAAATTTATTTTGGATGTTTATATGGTGGTTACAAAGTCGGTCAAATTGACCGACTTTGTATGTAGTTACGATAGAGAAAATAACATAAAATGTAAAATTTTAGTGAAAAAACGTTGGAAATGTATTTAGGAGGTTTCAGAGATTACAAAAATGCAATTGGTCAATTTTCAGATGAAAATAAATTTTAATTTGAACATGAAAATCACTTTGCACTCAGAGCAGTCAACACTTTTGACTTCTTATATTCACATCCCCCAGCGGGACAGTGGTAAGTCTTCAAATTTATAATGCTCAAATCAGGGGTTTGATTCCCCTTGGTGGACACAGCAGATAGCACAGTGTGGCTTTGCTATAAGAAAATGCACACACACACACACACACACACACACACACACACACACACACACACACACACACACACACACACACACACACACACATCATATATTCACAGAGAAAAGTTTAGTAAAAATACTGTATTAAAAATTTGGATTTTTTGTCTACAAAAGACTTGTAATGTTTACAGAATTATTGCAAAATTTTGTGAAGATACACCAAACATTTTAGAAGTTATAGTATGGAAATTCTAAAGGGCAATTTGGGGTCATGAACTTGGCCAACTTGACTGAGCCTATAGTGAGAAAATTAATATCTACCTTCAGGCTTTATTTGGTTTATGATTTATTTCCAGTAATAACTATTATTTGTGTTACAAGGAATTTGGTTATCTGAAAGTTTAGATACTCAGACTTCAGAATAGACAAAAAAATAAGTCAGCTGTTCAAATGTTTATTAAATGGTTTGCATTTCAGGCTTATTAAATAAAATATCTTTCATAACTTTAGGCAAAGCCCATTTAAGAGAAGCTCTCCTTCTTCATGAAGAAGCACTTAGACTACATCGAATGTGTCGGCAGTTGAGACAGGTTGACAACCTGAAAATTCGTTTAAGAATTGACCATGACACTTCTCTTAATAGATATGCAGACACTGAAGAAGAAGATGATTTCCAAGAGGTTTTAGATCCTCCTAAAGTTCATCGTAAGTAAGAACAGTTCTGTCAGGTTTTATAATGCTGGGATTCTTTGCAGTACACAATCCACTTGTTTTAAAATAATATATTTAAAACAAGTTAAACATGTTTATAAAAATTCGTTACTATACTGGTTATCACAGTTGTATCGAGAGCTTTAATTGTGTGTATTTAGTTTTAAATTTTCTGGTGGTAAGCAGTTAAGCAGGTCAATGACAGGATCATACTGGCATTGACATTAAGGAGCTTGTTTGTCATGTTGACATGGCACCACAATGTGGAAAAATATAATATTCAAGAGACCTTGTGGTCAAGAACAATGTAGTATGATAACAAGAAAATAAGTTAATCTTGTGCACAAAGCAACTGCAATTTTCCAATAAAAGAAAAATATGAAAAAAGAAAATTACAAAGGCAAGTTTTGGAGGAAATAGACAGTAAGATCAACACCCCCAAGAACTAGACCTAACAAAATAAGTTACAGAAGGTAAGTGAAAAATTAGTTGAAAGCTTGCAGGTCATGAAAGAACAATGAGATAAAATAGAACAAGATACATGTGGCCAAGCAATCAGTTATCAATGACAGAAAGAAATAAGCAATTAACAATATCTAACTTTGACAGTATTTTAAAATGACAGAATCAACTTCCTGGAAAGCTATAGTAAAATGATTAACATAATATACAGCTGTTGTTGCAGAGGCCAGTTTGTTTGTAGATATCTGTGCTTGAATTCCTGCAGCATCACCAAATGTACTGATAGACAGGCAGGGTGTAATTTAAGTAAAACATCTTAAAACAACTAAATCTATACCTCAAATGAAGCAGCAAAAAGATTTAAACACTATGCTCATCTATTGCACTATCAGAAACAAGTTCAGTCAAAAAGAGTTATAACTAACCCTACCAGATTCAATGACAGTTACCCATAATGCAAGATCAGCTGTGTGACTTTGAGATTTGGACATAGCGTTCACATTAAAGAAATGCAACGTGATGAAAACTTCTGTGAACACACAATCTTTAGTACTTTAGATTTTTAAGCTGCCTTCCTTGTGATTGGTTAACTGACCTTGATGAATAGAAATAAAAGGATCATTCAAGTTGCAATAAAAAATTAAAAAACAAAGGATGCTGAAAACAAACCATGAAAGAGTTTCAAATTGATAAACAAATTGACCACTGTAGTGTAGTACCTCACTGTTTCTATAATGACAAATGATATTGTCAGTGTTTAGAATTTTGGACTTTGTTACATAGATACAGTATTTTTAATTTTAAGTTTTGTAGTGTATTCAAAGTTTTTAAAATGATTGTGTTGTTTTTTCCATTATAGTGTTTTGTGGAATTCTATATTTGTATGAAATATTTTATGTTTATACTTGTATTGATAAGTAACTATTAATATTTTTTTAAATTTTGTTCTATAGTCTTACTTTTCTTTCAGTTATTGTTTTAAAGTGAATATGATAATACTTCTTATATAAACCTTCTATCGGGTTTTGTTTATATTGTAAAATCATTATGTTGTAGATTTTATCATCAACTAAGTTCAAGATGTTGAATTATGATATGAAATTATTCTAATCACCTTGAATATATTTTCAAAAAGTGTATCCAATGTTAAATTCTTATCATAACAACACAAAGATGTTTATACAAGCAAAAAAAACTATTTTTCCAAACACTTTAGAAATATAAAATGTATTTTTGAAATCATAATTGAATATCAGTAATGTTTTTATTTTTTAATTAAAAACATCCAGTTAACTAAAGAGGAAATTCTATTGTCTCAACTAGACAAACATTACTCAAATTAAAAACATCACTGACTGTAGTTGTTATTGAACATAATATATTTCAGTGACTGCTTTCACAATATGAGTATTTTGAAATAATGTGAATATTTTGTAAATGTCAAAGAAAAGTGTTTTACTAAGCTTTTGTCTTCATGAAATTCAATTACAAAGTAACATTTTTTCCGGATTGGTTAGACTGTAGTTAAACAGTGCTGTTTTTATTGTGAGAATTTTTTAAGGTCTCATATTGGAAAATTATAAAATCTAAATGCCAAAAACAAATTTTTAAAATTTCTTTAAAGGAAAGGTTAATAGTGGTCAATGTTTTAGCCAAATGACCTAAATTGGGTCTTGGTGAGAATACAAAAATTGTATAGAAAGATGTTGAATTAAGGATTTTGCTTTTGAGATTTTCATTCTGCTATGAATTGAGCTAGTGTACTGTTTTTCTTGAAGTAGTTATAAAGTGACTGTACTTGCTGAAGATGTCTATTGGGGCATAAATAGACAAAAAAACAAAAGAATTTAACCCTCAAATTAAAGACTTTATTTTTTGTATGATGCTTACTACTAGTGATATAAACATATTTCGTCATATTGAGTAATTTTATTCTTTACCTGTTATACCACTTATTGTAAAGAACTGGCCAAAATATTTAGTTTCAATGTAAAATTCATCAATGTCAGCACTAATTATATGGAGTAATTGCAATATTGATGGTATTTTTGTTTTAAACATTTTTGCTCACCAACAAATACACTGGTCCATAAACAATTTAATGCATAATAGTTTGAAAAAAAATGTTTAGAAACCCAATGAATCCATTTGTACTTTAGGATAAAAGTATCTGTTATCTTGTGACTAAAATTAATAGGTTTTAGTTAAAAATTGTTTATACACATATGGACATGCATAAATATAACTTAAAAATAGCATTGGACCTGTTGGTCTATCTAGGCCATCCCATCCACTAAACTAAACTTCAAATTGACTTTTAGATCATGTTAAAGTTTTTTATTAACATTGGCATGTGAAACTAAAAACTCATTTTCAAAAATGTTTTCAGGATTTTTATCTTTAATCAGTTACTTTAATATGAATTTTAAATTATAAAATGACTGGAACTTTGCAACAATTAAGTATTATAAAATCACACACAACTTGGACAAAAAATTATTCATCAGTGTAATGTCCTATTAACATTCAGAGTTTTGATTTATTCTTAAAGATAAGCATTATCTCATGTTTTTGTTTGTTTGTAACCCTAATATATTGCATTGATATTTCTAGATTTTTATTGAAAGATTTAATATTCTCTTTTCTAGTTTGATTATAAATGAATCAGTTATGAATTAAGTAAGTAGTTGGAGAGTATTATACTGTGTGTACTTATTCAACTTCCTACAAACTTTATCACTACTCCAGAATTTATACTTTATATAAACTCGCAATGTATTTGAATATGTATACTTAATGAATTATCTTACTGAACACTAACATTACAAGATAAATCTTTATTTTAGCATCTACAAAGTACCAGCTAACATTGACTCCTCCAGACTTCTCACAGTGTAAAGTTCAGGATTTGTTTCATGATCTGGTAATGTTTTTGTTTCAATTGTTTAGTTCTCCCTTTTTTAATGATTTTGGTTTTGTACCTTTGAAGTATCTGTTTATGATTTGCTAGTAAGGAATATAAAATTGTAAACAATTTATGTTGTGCATATGGTAGTCCAGAAACCATATTAATAGTTAATAATTAACATATAATTTATTTGGAGTATACAATAATTTTAAGGATGAAGTTAGGTTATATCTGAGGAAGGGAAAGTTGAGAGTGGGTGATAGCTTAGTTGGCATCTACCTAGTTAGCAGTGTTTATGATTCGATTTCTATCCAATCTCAGTTTTTACATCTTCTGAAAAATTTGTAGTTTGATAGAAATGTAAACTTAAGTTTTCCTCATTAAGGGACCAATTGGCATTTTTTCTGCACGTCATCATTGGACAGCTCCTCGAACTATTCATCTTGAGCGAGAAAATGAGGAAAGTTTTGGGTTCAGTGTCAGGGGGGATTGTCCAGTCATCATTGCTGGAACTGAAGCTGGAAGTCTATCTAAGGTAGAACAGAAATTTTCTTAACAGTACTTGAACTTAACACTTACGAAGGAAGTTGTGTCATTTCCATATATTACTGAGTGTTACCATATCTATTAAAGTGATCAAGTCAGTCTTTCTTTGAATAACTAAGATTGAACCAGGAATTAGCATAACTTAGATATTCTGGTCAAGTTACTTACTTCTTTAAGAAATTTATGTCAAGAATTAAATGTTGATGTAGAAGTTTGGGTGAAGTTGTTTTCTTTTGATAATTAAGACTAACTTAAAAATTAAGTAACATGACCTATTAAGTTTACTCAATATCCATTCTTTCTGGAGCTTATGAATACTACACACACATTATTATGATGATAATACAAGATCATGTTTTAATAAAAATTGGAAATATTTTACTATATATCAAAAGCATGAGATTAAGACTTTTGAATTCCTGTTCAGAAATTAAACAAATTTCTTTAAGTAATTCTTTAAGTTATTTAAATTTAAATTTTTGAGTTAACTTGGTAAATAAATAGATTAAAAATAATCTAGAACTGTTGGTCTAGTAAATTTAAAACCCCACCAGCTCCAAGAGTCCATTCTTACAAAACTCAAGGTTTGACTGACATCTTTGTTTTTATACATCTTTCTGTCGTGTGTAAAGGCAACTTGTGAAAGTTGGTTGCATGAAAGAGGAATGTCACTTTTAACAAGTAGTAACGTTTATACTTGTAATCATTTCTGTAGTAGCTTTATGAGGTCAATTAATTCCTGTTCAGTGGTGTTGAAAACAACATTAAGCACATGAATTCACTCAATGATTTTGGTTATCTTGAAAGCTAATCAGTGCATGTTTAGATGAATTTTTGTTAGTTGTACCTCCTGCCAAACAGAATGTTTAGGAACCTTTGTTTTTTAAACACCACAGATGGCAGGCCTGAAAGAAGGAGATTTTTTAGTTGCTATTGGTGAGACAGATACTAAATGGTGTAGCCATGATGAAGTAGTTTCACTGATTCAAGCTGCAGGAAATAATCTAATATTAAAGGTAGTTACCCCCATGGATCACAACTATCTTCATCCCAAGAATAGTCCATCAGTGAGCCCAACATCAACAACATCCAGCAGTTCTGGGGTTAGCTCTGCTTCCAGTCAGTATCAGAGCTCTCTAGGGAGTGAGTTTAGTGGGAAGGGCAAAGACAACCACAAGAGGCTCACTTGGAATATCTTTCGTCGGGGAAGATCTAAAGAACGAGAACGTCAAAGTAGTGCTTATGATCCAAACATTCTTTTATGTTAAAAAATAAACTGCAAGAAACTCAGTGTCAAGAAAGTGCAATTTTGATTTTTTTTTCAGACTACTTCAGGTTCTGTTAATGAATTGTGTACTGTATATCTTAGCATGCTTAAAAAAATTTAAAAATGAACTACTAAATATTTACTGGAATCTAGCTTAATTGAAAGAAATCATTATTAATATTATTATTAGGCAATTTAGGGTTAAAACCTAAAGGATTTGATAGTTTTTGACATTTTGTTGGTAGTGACAAATACAGATGTAGAAGTGTAAATGTTGCAGTTAGAACTAGCATCAAATGTGAACTTGCCTAATGTACACACTTAAAACATATCTGTATGAATATGCATTATGTATGGTGGTTTATCTAGTATTATTGTAACTTTTGTAAGCAGTAATCTTGTGTGGCTAGTACAAATGTGATTTAATTACTGAGGATTTCATTGAGTTTGTTAGCACTCAAATCAGTCATCAAACTTTATAATAAGATAGGTTGTTGTTTTTTCTAGTAATAAATGATAAAATTTTTACCATTAGTATTTTATTCCATATTCCTTCTCTATATTTAGCAGTTTTATTTGTGCTTTTTTTTTTGTCAAACTTTCTAAGAGCTTGGGACATACAATTTAGATTGGACATGTTTAAGTGGTTTATATTGTGAAGGTAAAAACTATAGTTGTCTAGGTAGCTTTATAAAACAATACTATTAACAACTACTTGTGAGTATAAATTAAAATCATATTTGTTATGTACAGAACATGAGTGAAACATGCATACAACAAATGTTATTTTCATTTGTTGCTCACAACTAGCTGTTATTTTGTTGATAACTTAAGAAAAGGCACGAGATTCTTCTTTTTTAATTTTACAGTATAATGTATAGTAAAAATAAGAGGTGTGGTGTTTTGTGATGCTTAGTTACAAAAAGAATATAATAAAACTGACTAATATATACAAGTGAAAGAATACTAACTGATATGTGATTTTACATCCTATATTTTTTTAATTTAAAGTTTTGCTTTTTCTTTGGAAAAGTTAAAATGTCAGAATGTTTTTTCTTTCTTCCTTTTTCTTGAGACTCGGAAAGTTGCATAGCTTGACAGAAATACCGATATTTACCTTAAATGAATATTTAAATAGCAATAGTGTTTATAACTTGATTAATAGAGCCACTGAGCTCTGAAGTAGACTAAAAGTATAGAAGTTTCTGAAGACGTTTATTATCTTTGGGCACCTCACCAGTTTAATTTTAGACTAATTACTGAATGTGACAAATATTGTAGAAAAACTAAATATCATTTTAGTATTATTATAACTAAAGTAAGAATTGTATGTGAGGTTTGCTAGTTAGCAAGGAAAGGATTTCATGAATAATGTTCTTTGTGCTATATATTACACTATCAGCAAATTTGTTACAGTATGCAAGTAAAAGTAGAGCCATGAAAAATGAATCTCATATAAGGAGTAATGTTTTTATTTTTCATGCATCTTGGTTGTAAAACTGTAGCATTTGCAACTAGAATTGTAACTATTGTGAATATATTATGAAGGATATAAATGTAGGAATTGGTATTTTTAACATTAATTTTACACTTATGTTAAAATATTTTGCTTCAAGTGCCATGGTTTTTGTGTTGGTGTTTTCAAACATATAAATAATGTACATTTGTGTATATACAAACTAAATCTTGCTAGCTGGAGCATAAGTATGTGTAAAGTTTTAATTGTTTAAACATACTTTACTGAGATTAAGAACCGTTTAAAATACTGGGAGGTGTCAATGTAATAAGAAAACTTTGATTTCATATTTACTAATTCTATCAGAAAGGAATATGAAAAGCTAATCCATATTAATTTCTTTATGCTGTACTTCTTTTTTTGTGTGTGTACAAAACTAATGTGTATTTTTTTCACAGTTGGTCTTTTAATTTGTACAATAAATAAGTCAGATTATAAATGGTTAATATTCTTTGGAATTTAAAGTTTCTTTTATCATATCTTTGTTGAATTATGTTGCACAACCATTGTATAGAAGAACATTTTCTAGAGATTGTTTGATTGTTGCAAACTATGAGTTACAACTTTCAAGATGGAAAGTTGCTTTTTTATCTTACTTTTTCACTAGGGGGAAAGCTTGTGCTTTGTGCATGAATCGTTTTTTTTTTGGGGGGGGGTTGTGGTATTTTGTACTTAAATTCACAAAGTGCTGTATATTTAAAATAATTTAAACAGTTAAGTAACCTGCCTAGACTACTCTCATAAGAAGTAAGGTGCATAAGAGTTTTGAACGAACCTAATGGCCATGTGGAGCATTTCAGTGACAGCAAGGTTAATCTTATTCCTGGCAGGATGCCCGCCACTCCAACTGACAGTAGTACAGCAACTACTCACAGTGGACTTCATTCTTAATGGGCATTTCAAGTTAGTTTCTGGTCATTATTGATTTCAACTAGTGATTGGGCATGACATTGCTGGTTAGTAACCACTTTCTAGGCCTATAGAAATCACCTCACTCTGCTGCTGTCTCAGAATGTTTAGATAGCTTTTCACTATGTTGACCAATTTTGTTAGTTAATCTTTTCCACAAGTTGATGGTAACTCTGGAAGAATGAATTGGATCTGCACCTTTGGCTTAAATTTTACTATAAGAAATTCGTCATCATGGCACCATAATTTTAACTTAATAGTTTAGTCTGTGGTATTTTCTAAAACAGGATGTTCTAGCAATTTGTATGCCATGCTTGAATGAATCAAAGCTCATTCTAGTTATTTACAAAAAAAAATTGTACAATCATGTGGTCATCATAATGATATTTTACTAATAAAGAATACATCACTTTGAACTCAACCTAAAGAATTTATATCTTCTGAAGTCTAACTTGTATAAGTTTTTGAGAGATCTGTAAACTATGTTAATAATGTGTCCCTTTTTACAACAATGCATAACAGTTTGCATAAGTCTCAAGGACCCCCTTATGCAACACTTTCGCTTAAATGACCAGCCATACCAGGTCAAAGACCTCTAAAGCTTGGACGTAGCCACCACTAATTTAGAACTATTGGCAAAAGTGCAGACAACAGATACCAGAAGCTGCAATCTTTGGGGATGTTTTTAACTAAATAGCAGGATTGGCTGTCACAGTGATAGCATCCCAGCAGCTGAGAGAGCCACACTTTAAATTTGTTATAGATATGTATTTTGCAAGTCCTAGAGTTCATTAAGCACTGGGCTTTCATTGTAATTTCAAAGTAAAATAGATTTTCCATTATGCATTTGTATCCCTGTTTAAAGTTTGTCACAATTACAAATAACCTTGTAAATAATTACAGTCTTGGAAGATGACCAAAACTGTAATGTGTTTAACTTACATATCACCTACTTTATAATATCACAGCATATTTCATAAACAAAAATTTTTAAGGTCTATTGTGAGCTTTTTCATTTCACTTAGAAACTTTACACCCTATCTAGGATAATTTTTTCTCTATATATATATAATTTGCTGATGCATCACACTTGCATTAGCCCTGACCAAGAATGCCAGCCTAAGCCAAGGTCAGATTAAAGTTATTCACAGCTGGGTACATTTCTTCATCTGTGGAAAGTCTAGCTTATAGAACAGCTAACCTGTATATAAGTTATCTAAATCTAGATGAATAAAGATGTTTTCATTTTCCAACTCATGAGAGGACTGCAGATTCTTATGTATTAGAATTTCAAATGGTCAGAAGCCGAGTTGACTGATAAATTTAAATTTAGTAGTTCAATTGTATTTAAATAAATGCCGATATATAGTCAGTTTGTCATATTTGCCATCAAGATTGATACACAGTTTTCTTTTTTAACACAAATACGTTTTAATATACACAAAACAATACAATTTACAGTAACAATTATTACAAATAGTTATCACAAATAAAGATTAATAAAAAAAGTTTCACAAACTTACAGACAATATAAAATCGTCTTTCTAGTTTGCAACTCCCTTGATATATACACCTGGAAAAAAGTTAAGCACCCCCAAATATTTTT